ACATTCTATGAAGCCGTGATCATCCTGATATCAAAAGCAGACAAAGATACCACCAAGAAAGAAAATTACAGGACAATATCTTTGATGAATATAGATGCAAAAATTCTGAACAAAATATTAGCAAACTGAATCCAAAAACACATAAAAAAAATCATACACCATGACCAAGTGGGATTCATACCAAGTTCACAAGGATGGTTCAACATACACAAATCAATCAATGTAATACACCACATTAACAAAAGAAAATTAAGAAACCACATGACCATCTCAATAGATGCAGAAAAAGCACTTGAAAAAATTCAACATCGATTCATGATAAAAACTCTTACCAAAGTGGGTATACAGGGGACATATCTCAACATAATAAAAGCTATTTATGACAAACCCACAGCTAATACAATACTCAACGGTGAAAAGCTGAAAGTCTTTGCACGAAAATCTGGAACAAGACAAGGATGCCCACTCTCACAGCTTCTGTTCAACATAGTATTGGAAGTCCTAGCCACAACAGTCAAACAAGAAAACAAATAAAAGGTATCCAGATTGGAAGGGAAGAGGTAAAATTGTCACTACGTGAAGATGAAATGATACTATATAAAGAAAACCCTAAGGACCCACACAAAAACTACTAGATCTGATAAATGAATTAAGCAAAGTAGCAGGATACAAGATTAACATTCAGAAATTGGTTGCATTTCTTTACACTAACAATGAAAATCAGAAAGAGAATGTAAAAAAAAAAAAGAACAATTCCTTTTAAAATCGCACACACAAAAAAACCTAGGAGTAAACCTGACCAAGGAGGTGAAAGACTTACATGCTGAGAACTATGAAACATTAGCAAAGGAAATTAAAGAGGGTTCAAAGAAATGGAAAAATATCCCATACTCTTGGATTGGATGAGTTAATATTATTAAAATGGCAATATTACCCAAAACAATCTACAGATTTAATGCAATCCCTATCAAATAATCCATAACATTTTTCACAGAACTAGAATAATCTAAAAATTTATATGGAACCATAAAAGACCCAGAATTGCCAAAGCAATCCTAAGGGGGAAAATAAAAAGCAGGAGGCATAACTCCCCCAGACTTCAGACAATACTACAAAGGTATAGTAATCAAAACAGTGTGGTATTGGTACAAAAACAGACATATAGATCAATGGAACAGAATAGAAATAAATCCACACACCTACAGTCAATTAATCTTCAACAAAGGAGGCAAGAATATAAAATGGGAAAAAGACAATCTCCAGCAAGTGGTTCTGGGAAAGTTGAACAGCCTCATGTAAATCAATGAAGTTAGAACACACCCTCACACCATGCACAAAAATAAACTCAAAATGGTTTAAAGACTTACACATAAGACATGACACCATAAAACGCCTAGAAGAGAGCATAGGCAAAACATTCTCTGACATAAATTGTACCAATGTTTTGTTAGGTTAGTCTCCCAAGGCAATAGAAATAAAAATAAACAAGTGGAACCTAACCAAACTTACAAGCTCTTGCACAGTAAAGGAAATCATAAAAAAAAAAGAACTAAAACAAAAACAAAAACACAAAAAGATAACCTATGGAATGGGAGAAAATATTTGCAAATGATGTGACAGATAAGGGATTAATCTCCAAAATATATAAACAGCTCACACAACTCAACAATAAAAAAAAAATCCAATCGAAAAATCGGCAGAAGACCTTAATAGACATTTCTCCAAAGAAGACATACAGATGGCCAATAGGCACATGAAAATATGCTCAACATCACTAATTATTGGAGAAATGCAAATCAAAACTACAATGAGGTACCACCTCACACTGGTCAGAATGGCCATCATTAAAAAGTCTACAAATAACAAATGCTGGAGAGGGTGTGGAGAAAGGGGAACCCTTCTACACTGTTGGTGGGAATGTAAGTTGGTGCAGCCACTATGGAAAATGGTAGGGAGGTTCCTCAGAAAGCCAAAAATAGAACTACCGTATGATCCAGCAATCCCACTCCTGGGCATGTAACTGGACAAAACTATAATTCAACAAGATATATTCACCTCTGTGTTTCTAGCAGCATTATTCACAATAGCCAAAACTTGAAGACAACTTAAATGTCCATCTACAGCTGAATAGATAAAGAAGAAGTGGTACATATATACAATGGGATACTACTCAGCCATAAAAAAAGAACAAAATAATGCCATTTGCAGCAACATGGACGTGACTAGAGGTTATCATACTAAGTAAAGTAAGTCAGAAAGAGAAAAAGAAATACCATACGATATCACTTATATGCAGAATCTAAAATGTGACACAAATGAACCTATCTACAAAACAGAAACAGACTCACAGGCAGAGGTCAGACTTGTGGTTGCCAAGGGGAGGGGGAGAGGGATGGACTGGGAGTTTGGAGTTGGTAGATGCAAACTATTACAGACTATTGCATTTAGAATGGACAAACAACAAGGTCCTACTGTATAGCACAGGGAACTATATCCAATCTCCTGGGGTAAACCATAATGGAAAAGAATATTTTTTAAAAAAGAATGTATATATGTGTATAACTGAGTCACTTTGCTGTACAGCAGAGATTGGCACAAACTGTAAATCAGCAATATTGCAATTTTAAAAAGTATTATTAAAAAAAAAAGACATACAGTGGCTGAATGGATCCAAAACCTAGACCTACAAGAAACTCACTTCATATCCAAAGACATAAACAGATTGAAAGTGAGAGATGGAAAAAGGTATTCCATACCAATGGAAATCAAAAGAAAGCCAGGGTAGCAATACTTTTATCAGACAAAACAGAGTTAAAATAGAGTTAAAGTAGAGACTGTTACAAGAGACAAAAAAGGACACTACATAATGATCAAGGGATCAATCTAATAAGATATAACAATTGTAAATATATATGCACCCAACATAGGGGCACCTAAATACATAAAAACAAATATTAACAGACATAAATGGACAAATCAACAATAACATAATACTAATAGGGGACTTTAACACCCCACTTACATCAATGGACAGATCATTCAGACAGAAAATCAACAAGGAAACACTGGCCTGAAGTGACACATTAGACCAGATGAAATTAACAGATACATATAGAGAGAGAACATTCGCCCAAAAGCAGCAGAATACACATTCTTGTCAAGTGCACATGGAACATTCTCCAGGATAGATCACATGCTAGGCCACAAAATCAAGCCTCGGTATATTTAAGAAAATTGAAATTATATCACCATCTTTTCTAACAACAACACTATGAGACTCGAATTCAACTACAAGAAAAAAACTGCAAAAAACACTGACATGTAGAGGTAAACAATATGCTACTAAACAACCAATGAATCACTAAAGAGATCAAATAGGAAATAAAAAAATACCTGGAGACAAATGAAACAAAAACACAATGACTCAAAATCTATGGGACTCGGCAAAAGAAGTTCTAAGAAAAAAGTTTATAGCTATAGAAGCTTACCTCAGGAAAAGAAAACATTTCGAATAAACGATCTAATTTTACACCTAAAGGAGCTAGAAAGCAAAGAACAAACAAAACCCGTTAGTAGAAGGAAATAAATCATAAAGATCAGAGCAGAAATAAGTGAAATAAAGGCTAAAAAAATTGAAAAGATCAATGAAACTAAGAGCTATTTCTTTGAAAAGATAAACAAAATTGATAAACCTTTAGCCAGACTCATCAAGAAAAAGAGAGGGTCCAAATCAATAAACTCAGAAATGAAAAAGGAGAAGTTACAATGGACACGGCAGAAATACAAAGGATCATAGCTGCTATGAGCAACTATATGCAAATAACAATGGAAAACCTAGAAGAAATTCGTAATTATGTACAATCTCCCAAGTCTAACCCAAGAAGAAATAGAAAATATAAACAGACTAATTACCAGTAATGAAATTGAATCAGTAATAAAAAAAAAAAAATCTCCCAGTAAACAAAAGTCCAGGACCAGGTGGCTTCACAGGCGAATTCTACCAAACATTTAGAGAATAATTAACACCTATCTTTCTTAAATTATTCAAAAAAATTTGCAGAGGCAGGAACACTTCCAAACTCATTCTGTGATGTCAGCATCACCCTGATACCAAAGCCAGACAAAGATATAACAAGAAAAGAAAATTGCAGGCCAATATCACAGATGCAAAAACGTAGATGCAAAAGTCCTCAACAAAATATTAGCAAACCAAATCCAACAACACATCAAAAGGATAATACACCATGATCAAGTGGGATTTATCCCAGGGATGCAAGGGTTTTTCAATATGTGCAAATCAAACAATGTGATACACCATATTAACAAATTGAAGGATAAAAACCATATGATCATCTCAATAGATGCAGAAGAAGTTTCCGACAAAATTCAATACCCATTTATGATAAAAACTCTCCAGAAAGTAGGCATAGAGGGAACTTACCTCAACATAATAAAGGGCATATATGACAAACCCACAGCTAACATTCTCAACAGTGAAAAAGCTGAAAGCATTCCACTCTCACTACTTTTATTCAACATATTGGAAGTCCTAGCCAGAGCAGAGAGACACAACCAAGTTGGATTTTAGTGATCAATCTAATGGAAAAGTGTATAGTGGATTTAATAGGAGACCCTGTTGGCAGTCTTACCAGTTAGGAATTCAACAGTCAGCCTTACGAAGAAAAGGGAGGAAGCAGTGTATCATCACTTTGCTTTCCTTGAGGTAAACTACTTGACTGTGATAACAGTTCTAATTCAGAACAGATATGTCAACCCAAACACCATTTTCTAATGTTCATTTCCAGTTAATGGATTTATCTAAAAAGACCCTTTGTCTTAGGGACACAGACCTTGCCAACACAGCATTCTCTTTTTAGGACCCCCTTTTTTAAAATTAGAAATGAACTCAATGAATGTTCCATATATTTTACTGCCAAGGCATTTAAAAGTCTGTTTTCCTTGAGGAAATTCTCAAACTGGTATGAACTCTTTCTTCCCAGGTACCTCCAGATCATCAGTTACTCGATGTAAACCGGGAGCCAACTGCCCCAGTTCACACAGTAGCATCAGCAGACAACTGTCCCCTCTGTCTGTCACCGAAGATTCTTCTGCTCCTATTCTTGAACTTCAGAGTCGAGGATCCTCTGGAGTTTGTGGACACAGAGCCGAGAGGCAGAACAGATCAGGTATGCGGGTAACCTCCTCTTAAATAACAGTACGTTTGGTAAGCTTCTAGCCAGCAATGAAAGATCTCACCATTGGCACAGAATGTAGAGATGTTACACGGACTCTCAGGAGTGCATGTGGGGAAAGTTTATCAAGTGGGAGGAGAAGGAAGAAAGGAAATGTGCAGATATAATCCATTAATGATGTACGGTGTACAGTGTAGCAGAGAAGTAATACCAAAACCTATAATTGGAGGGTTTAACGTATGGTTAAACAGTGACTTCTAATGAAGTTTATAAGGAAACTAGTTTTCTCGTCTTCAAGGTGTGAAAAGCCAGCATCTTTTACCTCAATCCTGGGCTTTAGTATTAGCACACTGCCCATTCTGAGAAGAATAAAAGTACCAGGAAAATCACAGACTCTGCTCTTGTCTTTATCAGGACTGCCAGTCCTTGGAGCTCTTCTAGTTTTCCCAATTTTACACCTCCTTCACTTCAGTTGTCTCCCGGATCAGCATTTACTACTAAATCAAGACCTTTGGCATTTCCTCACGTGTGCCTGACCACTTACCAACTCCTGGGTTACTTGGTTACTGGAATTGCTAGATAAATTACCTTAATATATCCATGGGTTTCCCAGCAAACTTATCATTTTAAAATGCAGCTGGGTCCATTAGGCTGCTGCCCAATACTGTTACATTTTGGTGGTGGACATCGTACTGCCTTCCCCAGAGATGCTCTCAAGCTCTGAGTCCATACTCACTTGCTCTCATCATATGACCACACTTCTACTTTCCTGAAAAGACTAAAACAATTGTGTGCTAAGAGATGCTTTCCTCTCTGCCTCAAAATGTCTCTGTTCTCTTGTTTGCTAATTTGCTAATTACCATCATTGTGGGGACCACCTTTGATTTTTGTGTTCGCTACCATTCTGATGTTGACTCCTTCTGCATCCATGATCACCTTCTCTCCATCTCTTCCACCTACATTTTCAATCTCTCCTTCTCCATATATTCCTTCAGCTTGGCCAGCAACATATTAAAATCTCTTGCATCCTTAAAATCAATAGTGACAACGCAAAAACAACAAAATACTCTATTCAAAATAAGTGGGTAGTGGAAAAAAAACCCTCAAACTTTGAGAACACTAGCTTTAAAAAATAAACAGAAGAGAGGGCTTCCCTGGTAGCGCAGTGGTTCGGAGTCCGCCTGCCATTGCAGGGGATACGGGTTCGTGCTCCGGTCCTGGAAGATCCCACATGCCGCGGAGCAGCTGAACCCGTGAGCCATGGCCTGAGCCTGTGCGTCCGGAGCCTGTGCTCTGCAATGGGAGAGGCCGCAAGAGTGAGAGGCCCATGTACCGCAAAAAAAAAAAAAAAAAAAAAACAGAAGAGGAATGGTAATTCAGGGGACTCAGGTAAACAAAGGTATAGAAGAAGTGTGAAAGCCTCTTGTAGGGTCCTACTTATCTGATAAGGAGGTTTTATACGAGAAAAGATTTTTTCAAAAAACGACAATATTTTAAAATGGAATCTCAGCAACTATGGACCCCAAGGCTAAAACTCTTTTTTTAAAAGTGAAGAAAATCACATCTTAAATCTTCAGAAAGTTTTAATTGGCTTTAATAAGTTACGGTAATATTCTTATCATCCCAGTTATCTTCAGAACAGTATGTTCCAGTTAACTAAATATGGTTAATAAATTTGCCCTACCTATCATATAGAGATTACAAATCTTAAAAACTGTACCGTTAAAGACCACTTGGGGCATGATTTACTCTTTCTGTAATGATTCAGAAGACATTTGGGGATATTCCTAGACACCAAAAAGAAAAGAAAAATAATCTGAAGAGTAGCTCACCATTCTTTCATGAACGTTATGGTACTTAACCTCAAAATGAAGCCCATGAGATACATATTATCGCTGTTTGACAGAGAACCTAAGATGGAATTAAACATATACTCAGGGCCAACCAATGGCAGGACTAGGACTTTCACTCATGTTTCCAAATTCCAGTGGCCTCTACCATCAATTTGTCTGACTCCAATCAAGGTTCATAGAAGCGGATGGAATTCCTGGTAAATCAATTTTAATGATATATCCAAAACAATAAATCTAAGCAGGACTCTAGAAAATCATGCTTAAAATGGTCAGAAAAACAAAAGAACTCTGGAGAGCCAATCTTTCTATGGTATCTGTAGATAGTAAAAGAATTGTCAACAATTCAATTTAGTTAGCAGAAGAAAGAATGAGTCAACACTAGGTGGGGATTTAGGTGACTGTTGGTGTCATCAAAAATATTCTCCATGCTCTGAAACAGAACTTTTTCTCCAAACCACTTCTGAAACTTCCAGTGCTTAAACGGGGAGCTCAAGCCTGAAACCTAGACAGAATCAATATTCAGAATAAAAAGTTTAGACCTTGGAGTCATACTGTCTTAGGCTCAACCTTGAACAACCTTTAATACAACTCTCAGTGTTTTCATCTGTAAAATGGGAATAATGCCTACTTAATTGGGTAGGCTCGTGTTCCCTTCCCAGCCTTCCAACACCAGAGTCTCTTATTCCACCCTCTTATACATTTTTGTTTTTTCCCTTTACTCTCTGTGTAAGCCACATGGTCATAGAGGGAATTTGCAGAACTGTTATGAAGTATAGTCTGTACACAGCCGAGGGAGCTGGCTAACATACTTACTGACTCATCTCAATGTCACTGCATCATGGGAGCTTCTCCTAATCATTATGCCCGCCTCCTCTTAACAAGTGCTTCTCCTCTGCTTCCATGTGGCCTTGTATCTGCCATACGTGGCCCTTATCATACTGTATTAGATGTGTTCTCTGGCCTTTGTCTAGATTATGAGCTCAAGTCTTTCTTGTTTGAACCCCTGGAACCCAACTATCTGACTCCTGGTAGTCTCCATAGGACTTTGTTGAATAAATAAATAAAAGAATACCAGTTTTCATCTTCTGGAGGCCTAGGCTCTGAGAACTCTGTTTATGAGACTTGGAAGTCATGTAGGAATTGCTGTGTTCATCCTTACTTGGTTTATATTCTGCAGTGAAGAATTCACTTTCAAATCTTGCTACCCACTTTCCCCAAATAATTATATCAGGAAGCCTTAGCTGGATGAAAGCTTTACCCCAGTGGGGCAGTCCCACCTGGGTCATTAAGCAGTGAGCACACATTCACCAGGAGAGCCAGCAGGTTCTGGAGAGGAAAAGTGAGAAACCATCCACCCTCACTTGCTATCTGTGGGCTGCACCACTTTCTTAACCCCAGGATAAGCCTTACGCTTAAAGGAGGTCCCTGGAGACACAACAGAATCTTGCAGACAATTCTGCCGCCTTTCCCCCAGGATTCTACTCTCTGGGGACTCAGGGTGACCACTGCTCCCATTAAATTTCCTGACAGGTACGTAAATTCATAAATTCAAAAACAAGTTGAACTCGTTTTCTCTATCAGGGGAGAAGACCTTTATGATTGTCACTTTCAGAGAGCTTTGACTATTTTAGTGTGAAAAAATGCTACTAAATTTTCTTAGTAAATGTAAAAATACAAAGCAGAACTCACTGTGCTCCCAGAAACATATTAAGTCGTAATTTGCTCCGAGATGGAAGGTAATTTTGTGCAGTCCAGACTTGCTCTGTTTTGGAGACACATCCTTTTCAACTTAATAGTCATCTTTGCTGCAGTTAAAAAAAAAAAGCAACTCAGTGGAATATAACAACAAATACTTATTTCTTGTTCACATTTCATGTCAGCAGACACAGGGTTCTGCTCATTCTCCCACATAGACCCAAAGAGCAGCTTCTTTTTGGGATTCTCCATTCTAGTGGCAGAAAGGAAGAGCTAGAGAGGTAGTGGGACCCTGTGATGCCTCTTGAAGCTTCTGCTGAGAGGTGGCATACCACACATCTGTTTACGTTTGATTAGACAAAGCAGGTTACGTGGCCAAGGCCAAAGCCTTTGGAGCTGAAATGTGTAATGCTCTCACAAGGAAGTGGGGAGGGTACACCCAGGAACAGAGAGCATCCACCAAGTCCATGAGCATCGTCATAGCCTGGATAGGGGTCCAGATACACACTGTACCTTACAGAGCAGAGACTCCAGATTCCAGACAGAAAATGAGCTAGAGTTATCTGTCTCTTCAAATGACAGCAGGAGAACACTGGTGATTCTACTGTCTGCCTTTTTGATTGCTGTTTTATAACTTGATTTCCACACATTTGTATTCCTTTCCTGTTTGCAGGGGATGATGGAACACAGACTCATCCTGAGGATAGCAGCCAGGGAAACAGAATCAAGGCTCGCTGCCTATCCTGTACGTCTCTGGTTCTGAAGGCCATCTGGGGACTTTTGATCATCCTGTCAGTGTCATCATCTTGGGTTGGAACCACACAGATTGTAAAAATTACTTATAAGAACTTCTACTGTCCATTTTTCATGACTTGGTTTTCAACAAACTGGAACATTATGTTTTTCCCAGTCTATTACTCTGGTCATCTGGCCACTGCTCAAGAAAAGCAATCTCCAATGAAAAAATTCAGGTAGGTTTCATGTTAAATGGCCAGTAGGAGATGGTTTGAAATAATTTCATGCAAATATGCATAATTTCATCTCTTTGGAATATGAGTTGAGTCGAGGAGTGTGGAGAGGCAGGATCTGAGGTCGGTAGTGAACATATTAACATGAGGAAACAGAATCAGTACCACCCCCAAAATTATTAAGTGTCTACAACATGCCAGGCCCTGTGCTGGTGCTTTTGTATATCTTAGCTTATTAACCATCATTGGTGGTAACAGCCACGTTTTAAGACGGTGTTAGTTATCCCCATTTTAACACAAGAGGTAATAGGTTTGGAGAGATTCAGGGACTCGTCCACTGTCACACACTTATAAATAATGGAACCCAGATTTTAATTCAGATCAATTTCTCTCTAGCCACGTTTTAAAAGAAAAACCCAAGATCTCGAGCCCAGAAAAAAAAAACTGTATTAATAAGATTATTACAGAAACATTTGCTCCGTATTCTGGACACAGTGGTGTTATAGCAGATGAAATGACTTGGTCTCAGGTAAAGGGAAGTTTGGCCTCGGGATGGTTTAAAAGATGCTGTTCTTTGCTGGCTAGGAGCACAGGGAGCCTCGTCTGTTGGTTTGCTAGCCATAAACTTGAGAGTGCCGTGGTTCTAGTGGTTGCTTGGGGCTAAACCTGACTTTTGCAGCCCCATCTTGGGGAGATCAGGAAGCTGGCAGACATGTCATCCAGCCCTGCACAGCACTCAAGGAAGGCACAAGCAGTGTTCGGGTCAAAGTCCTGTGCTAACAGACAGCTTCTTGAAAGGAAAAGCCAGAACTAAGGAATAACTTCCAGGACGGTCACTCTGATCGCCCAGAGAAAACAGCAGTCTTGACCTCAGCAGATGGCAGTGGGAGAGCGACAGTTTTCTTCACCCACTTACTGCTCCTCAGCAGAATGACAATAAATTTGTATTGCAGGAGCCAAAATAACCTTTCTTTCTTGCCCTTTTACCTAATGAAAGGAAGGAGTGACTGTTACCATCGATGCATTATAAGACTGTCCTTGAAAACTTAAGACACTGTGAAGGCTTTAATCTTCAACTTCCAATTTATCACCAGCTTGGAAGTGCCCGGGAATACTGAAGTCACCCTGTGAGCTGATTTTCCACGTGTGTCCATGAACGTTCAGCTATCATTAAAGAAACAAAAACCAATTCAAGAATGATAAATGTTTTCTGGTTTGGAGGAAAGAAAAAAGCCTTATACCTGTTTGGGATTGCTAAAAATACTTTCTATTTCTTCCCATCAAAGTAGACATGATGCTGGGGCATAAGATCTTTATTAATAACAATATTTAATACATGATTGCAAGGGACATGATTATCAGAATAAAATTCTCCCTGTTTGAAAATACCTCCATTTACCCATAGCATGTGTTCCTATGGTTTAGACACACGTGCTGATAAAAACAGCAAAAGTTTAGTCTGGGAAGTAATACCTCAGAACACCTCAAAGCAAGCCAAGTCAGTTTTATTGAAGAGAATACATTTACAAGAGGCTCCTGCTGACAGAAGTGTTGTTTGGGGAATGAGTCTCATCTTCACCGCATCTCTCACGTTGAACTAACTCTGAATTTAGTGAGACCTGTAACTTGACAAGACACCTCCTCCTGTTAGTGCCTAGTGTGAAGTTGCACATTTCTGAAACTGAATCAAAGAGCTTTTATTGTCGAGCAGAAAACGTTGTGAAAGGAATATTCTCCAGTGGCCCCCTCCATATGAGAGGTAAACATTGCCAGAAAATGCTGAGATCCTTGATCTTTTTTCCCTGTAGACTCATGAACACCATCTGCCAAGAAGGCACCCACTGAAGCTCCCGTGGCAGAACAAGGGGAAAATATAGTATACAAGAGTGAAAACAGGATTTGTCCCATAGCGCCAGACCCTATACCTATTTCCTCCTTTTCTCTTGAATGCTATGAAAGCATTTCCAGTCTTTTTCTTATCACTAACATCAAAAGAATTTTCAGTAAGGTATCAAATCTAGGTGGTAAGGATTGTTCATTTGGAAGTAGTTTTTGATATTTCCATCATTCCATTTATATACTATCAAGAGAATTCAATTGCCTCAGGTGAATTTGAAATTTAAGAAGAAAAAAATTATATACCATAGTTTTGATGGTATATCAAAAGGGTATCAAAGGGTAATTTCTTAAGGAAAAAAAAACTCTAGAAAGCATGAAACTAGAGCCAAAGATAAATTTGCCATGTGTCAGGAAGCTATGAAATGTACTTAAGATGCCATCTGACATACAGAAAGGGTTCCACTAGTAGCTGCTGGAACAATGATGAGCATAGTTACGTTACTAGTGTCCCCCGACTTCTAAGCTTCTTTCCAAGTTCTGCCTCCTGTCAATGCCTCTTGTCTAGAAATTCTGATCTCATCATCCCAGGAGAGACCTACTATTGTTATTTCCTTCTCCGTAGAAATCCATCTTTTTTTTAAAAAAAAAAAATCACATTTCCCAGCACTTACTGCTTAAATGGCAAAAGGTTTTATACCCAGGTGAACTGGCGTTTGAATGGAGAGCATTTTTATTAATTCTTGTAACAGCAGTGACAAGTGGGGAGAAGGTTGGCAGTGAGACGAGAAGGGAAGAAGAAAGGGTAACAAGGAGGAAGCCAATACCTGGGGGTCAGGATGAGCCAGGCCAAGAGCCTCTGCCGGGCAGCAGCCCTTTGCCTGGGGGACTCTCCCCATCCATGTGCCTCCACTGGCTTCCCCATGGGGCAGGGTGTTCCCTCTCCTGAATCCAAAGTCTTTGCTGGAGAGCACTCTACCCAGCATGATGGTGGGCTCTGGGAAGGAAGAACCATCACTGGCTAAGACCAGTGATAAGAAAAGAAATACTTTAATCAGAAATGGATTTGTTGTGGTTCTTAATAAACGTGTATTTTAAAGGACATTTAGCAGTTATAGATGTCAGGATAAACCCACGACTCTCCACTCCAGCTCTCCCTGGCAGACTTCCTCACAGAGCAAATCCCTTTGTAAGTACAGAACACAAAATGTGTGCCCAGTTGCTCTGTGAAAACTGCTGCTTGCTCTGTGTGTAACTCTGATTTGAGTATCTCAAAGGTAGGGCTTTAGAAAGGCCATCCATTTTATAATACTGATGTAAATCAACTACACGTCAATAAAACAAAACAGAGAGGCCATCCATTTACCTGTGTGTGTGAGCACGTGTAATTTCTGTTTACTTTGCAAAAGGCTTTGCCTCTGGCTTATTTAGTCCCTTCATTGATGTTCTGTCTCCTTCAAGTTAAAATTTAGCTTTGGGAATCCCATTTCCATTTTACAAAAGTCTTTCCATTTTGGTTGTCTGCCACATGAAAGCAAAATCACCACATGACTGTCTACGTGTTCAAAATGCATTTTTAACCTTCCAGAATCACTGGCCTATGATTCCCTGTGTTCTCAGCTGCTTGGAAGCAACGTTTACTATGGGACTTGATTTTGAAAGCCGTATCCCTGTGCTTGGAGCCTCACCACTTTGTCACGCCCTCCCGCCATGTGGTCCTCCTATGGGGTACATTGCTTCATACATGGGAGGCAAACACTGGCTGGAGATTACTTTGCTTTGCAATACTTTGAGGCATAATTATTTCTCTTCAGAAAGAGCTAGAAGAGAAACCAGAAACTAGTATTACCTAGAGCCATTTAAATAGATTTATAAACATTATAAATGTGCAAATATGAACAACTTGTTGCTTTAAACAGAATATTTATACTACTCTTGAAAATACAATGCCTGGCACAAGACAGCTGCCCAATGAAAGCTTGAATGTTCACGTACAAATGGGTGAAAAAAATAAAGCTGAATTTTCAGAGCCTGTTTTCAGTCCATAATCCAAAAGGCACTGCTATTCTATCACTTTTGATGTTGCCTATATGTATCGCTAGCTTCAACATTTTGATTAAAACAATCCTTTGGGCTAAATAATCAATTTAGTCAGAAACCAAGCAAATCAAAGATTTAACTGAAATGACTATTTTTACACAATGAATTCAGACAGTTCCTCCAGAATGGCCAGGTGTTTGTACATAAATGCAACCTGAATTTTATTTATTTATTTTACCATTTGGGGGTTATCACAGATGCTTCCTTCATTTTTTTGTGCCTTAAGAATGCTAGAGGAAAAAGAAATTTGTCCATTGGGCAGATATGTCAGAAAAAGGCATAATGTTTTAGGAATAATAAAATCCCAAGCTGTGCATGCCTACACACGATATGTGAGGCTGCACGTGGTCTGTAGCCTATTCAAACAGTAGCAGCCATTTTGACCCTGTTGTATTCGTCCACTGGGAAAGAATCATCTGTCTCTTCGAATAGCTAGCAGTTCCAGCAACCATTCATTTCTGGATTTCTCCGGGCTTCTCAGAATGTTTGGCAACAGCAGAAAGGCTACCCCCAGGAATCTCCAGAGAATGGGTAGGAAAGGCTTAGCTCTGTGCCTGGGGAGATGTGGACTCCTCCATGGAATCCTTTGCACTCACAGCCCGTAGGTGGCAGAACTGGGTTCAGTAGGTTCCACAGATGAACGATGGGTCTTCAGGGTTTGTGCTCTTGGCTAAAAATGGCTGTCAAGAGTTAGTCTACACAAGATGTGTTAAAATTAATACCTGACTATTAACCTCTATTTCTTCTCTAGGGAATGCAGTCGAATTTTTGGTGAAGATGGTCTGACATTGAAGCTCTTTCTTAAAAGAACTGCTCCCTTTTCTATTCTATGGACTTTGACTAATTACCTGTATTTACTGGCTTTAAAGAAGCTGACAGCCACAGATGTCTCTGCTCTGTTCTGTTGTAACAAAGCCTTTGTCTTCTTGCTGTCGTGGATCGTGCTGAAAGACAGGTTCATGGGAGTGAGGGTAATGGCACACTTGATTCAATGCGTAAGGCCGCATTTAATCATAGATCCTTGGTATCAGGAGAGCTGCTTTGTTTTGTGGAGTTTCTGCAAAACTTTTCCCATTGGTTCTGAGTACAGATTGAAATTTGAAGTTGCGTTAGGACGCCCAGGCAGTTACAACATCATGAGAAGATAAAGAGATTGTTTCCATTGGAATCAGTCAGCTGATTTCAACAGGAGGCACTCAGGGAAAAGAAGTTCTTTTCTTAGAATTAATGGTGTGATCACCTCTTTCTGTCCTCGGGAAAGAAGGGTCTGAGAAAATTAGCCACAGTAAAGATTATGATTTGCTTTTTTTCCAATCAACATATGTTGGGACAACTCCCTCATGTCTTTTCCCCCCAGAGATGGATTTAATTAATATTGGTGGAAGTAGATAAGGTTACCAAACAGTAATTAAAGTCACCAGTAATGGCACAATGCTGTTAAAAGTGGCTATATATCTAGTGTGACTAACTAGATATGGAACTAAAAGCAATAACTCTTACTTTGGGGTACAAATCCTTAATTGAACTGCATTAAACTTCCACCAACCACTTCAGTTCTGAGTTTATCCCTTTCACAGGTAACATGGATTTAAAAATAAAAAGTTTTTCTGTATGCTTGATCTTTCTTAGATTGATGGAAAACCATGCAGATGTAAGGAGCCAGATCTCATTCATATAATCTGGTATGCCACCATGATGAAAATATTGAGTAAACAGTTCTTTGAAAGGAGGTCCAAACGAATAGCCTTTTTCCAGAAGATAAACATCACACAATTATTGTTCTCTGAAAGAGATGTCCAAGACTGGATTTGAAACACGTTTTGCTATCAAAATATTGCTCTTGTCGCAATGATTCCAGGGTCCTTGTCCTGCTAAATGCTGAAATTCATGTTTATATTAGAGAGAGTTTGTGACAGGTATCATCCTGAAAACTTCATCTTAATAGCCAATTAGCTAATTCTGGTTGTATCTTGGGAAATGCTGCTCAGAAATTCAGAACTGAAACTTGACATGAAAAAGTGAAAAGCTACAGCAGAAGACAACACAAGAAACTGAATCGGTCCATGATACCATTAAACTATACCAGATGTGGTCCCATACTCATTCTCCATAGCTAATCTTAGATTTCACACCCAAAGTGCTTAGCAACATGTTTTCACACATGAAGCATTGGTACTGTCTGTCCACCATCACATGCCCTGACAAGTACTTGAGAACAAGAACCTTCTTTACATTGCTCACTGATCCATTCAGCTTGGGCTACATAATTTGTGGGCCGCAGTGAAAAGTGAAAATGCAGGCCTTCTGCATTGTGAATAGGGCTTCCCTGGTGGCGCAGCGGTTGAGAGTCCGCCTCCCAATGCAGGGGACACAGGTTCGTGCCCCGGTCCAGGAGGATCCCACATGCCGCGAAGCAGCTGGGCCTGTGAGCCATGGCCGCTGAGCCTGCGCATCTGGAGGCTGTGCTCCGAAACGGGAGAGGCCACAACAGTGAGAGGCCCCCCTACCCCCAAAAAAAAAAAAAAAAAAAAAAAAAAAATTGTGAATAGTTTCAACATGGCAACATCAGGGAGCCCACTGCATCTGCACAGGTCATATGCCCATGAAACTAGTTCTACCTCTATCTCTAACACCTAGAATGATACAAGGGACAAAGTAGAGACTCGACATATTTAAGGATATAGTGAATGAACTCATGCTTACAAGATCTTTCTCTTGTCTATCTACTACCACCTTCGATCACCCATGAGTATTTGGAGGGCCTTGTCAGAAGAGAGGGCAAGAAAGGAGATTTAGGGGCTTTTCTGCTCTTTCAGTGTCATGTGAATACCAAAAGGAAATAGATATGTTCACTATTAGATTTACCAGTGAGCAAATCAATTGTATTAGAGTGAATGAATGCATTTAACCATGGAACTTACTTATGCAAGGGGTCATATCAAAAGAAGCTTGATGTTTATTTGAGGACTTTTAGGGGGAAAAGCTCAGCTGTGTAACATTTAAATGGCAGATTTAGGAAATCTGCCTAGAAGCTACAAAGCATTTCTATCTTAAAATTTGCATCTGTGGTGGGTTTAATCGTGGCCCCCAATAAGGTGCCCACACTCTAATCCCCAGAACCTGTGAACGTGACCTTACTTGGAAAAATAGTCTTTGCAGACATAATTAACTTAAGGATTTTGCAAAGAGGAGATCATCCTGGTTGATCTGGGTGGCTCCTAAATCCAATAACAAGTATCCTTATAAGAGACACACACAGGAAAGACACACAGAAGAGGAGAAGGCAATGTGACCACAGAGATAGAGATTGGAGTGATGCAGCCACAAGCCCAGGAAAGCCAGGGCAGCCACCAGAACCTGGAATAGGCAGGAATGTAATATTATTCTCTCCCAGAGTTGCTGTTGGGAGCATGGCCCTGCCCAATTTTGAACTTCTGGCCTCCAGAACTATGAGAGAATAGATTTCTGCCATTTTTAGTAACCAAGTTTGTGGTAATTTGTTACAGCAGCCTCAGGAAACTAATACAGCATCTGTAAGTAATAAGACCTGATAGAAAAATTGTTAAGTAGCCAATAAGTAGTTGTTAACAAGTAAATGCGTAAATTAAGACATCATAATGACAAAATAGTAAGTATTAATGTCAGGCATGCTGGGAGAAGTCAGGTATTTTTAAATGACAGGAGGTGCTTCACTTCTCACTGTGAAACGTTAGGAAGTGTTTAATGCCATGTTCTAGAAGAATGTCAAGGTGTAATTTTAATAATGCCCATAATCAGGCCATGGAATATAAGAAGCACTGAAACATATTCAGCATTTTGCCTTTTGACCATATCAGCAGTTCTTTTCCTTCTGAGACATATTGAGAACATGTATAATTAGGTCATTTGAGAAATTAGAGGAGGACAAATAGAATACTGACAACATAAATGCAGCTCTTATTGCCTACACCCATAAATAGGACAAAGCCTGTAGATGCCATCCCACTTGGAGTACTCTTTTTTTTAATAGTTAAAGGGTTGCTTTCAGTCATCAAATCAAAATGTATATTTCTGACTCATTCTAAGTCTTCAGTAGTTCAGAAAAAGATAGTTTGGGGATTATGATTCTCATTTGCATGACCCCAAGAATTATCACCCTTAAGATAAAACATATGGCCTCCCCTACTTCTATTTTTTTTTTTTGCAGTACGCGGGCCTCTCACCATTGCGGCCTCTCCCGTTGCCGAGCACAGGCTCCGAACGCGCAGGCCCAGCGGCCATGGCTCACAGGCCCAGCCGCTCCACGGCATGTGGGATCTTCCCGGACCGGGGCACGAACCCGCGTCCCCTGCATCGGCAGGCGGACTCTCAACCACTGCGCCACCAGGGAAGCCCCCCTACTTCTATTTTTCACATCAAAATGACACGATGAACAGAATAAAGGATGCTTTAAATTATAATATCAGCAAATACGGGTTTATCTGGAGCACCAGTTGGCCAGAATTAGCAATGCTCACATAAAAACTAATTATATGTTTTGAATAACTTGTTAATATTTAGTTTCCTTGGAATTTTGATTGAATCACAGATGGAAAGGTAGTCTGCCATACATTTAGTTTTCTATTATGAAATTCTTTCAGCCAGTTTGCTGGTGAGTTTTGGTGTGTTAAAAAAACTCATAAGTAGTTGCTTACAGCTGATGTATGATAATCATGTGGAAATTAGTAAACTTCTTTAAAAGACCTTTCTTTTTAATTGCAAAAATGTTGCTAAGTGAGAATCCAGCTCTTGCAGCATTGAAGATGGGTGTTTTTCCCATCTCCAAGATCCTGTTTTGTTTAGCTAGCATTCTTAAATTCATCAGAACCAGAATATCACTGAATATCAATGATATTGATATTGATCACAGAATATCAATAAAAAAAGGTTCTCCTCAAAAAAAAAACACAAATGAGCCACTGCTTCAGGTTTTCTTCTCTATCACTGGCATCCATTTCACTCCAATGAAAAGTAAATGTCAGACTAGAAAATTAACACCCTTTCTTTCAGATCTTGTCCCCCCCTTATTTTTATATTATTAATTGAAAATGTTCATTCATTTTCAAATTTCCTTGAACATGTGAAGAAAATTGGTGGGCGGTGAATGGTTCAGCAGGCCCCAACTTTTATAGCAGATTGAGGAAATGAATTTGTGTCCCTTCAGCTTGGTAGCCACCTATTTTCTAGGTATAATTGGGTCCTTATGTGTTTAGTTTCCCAAACTTTTGGAGACTTTCCTCCATCCGCCAAGAACTGACTGGGGTATGACAGTTAAATGGAATCTTGCATTGCTTAAACTGCTCTTCTCTGAATTCAAATTGGGCTCCAGGGCACTCTAAATCAATCAGGACCCTGGAGCTGAGCTGCTACTGATTTGTGCCAATATTACATATTTAGATAAGATTCAAGACAATCTTGTTTCCATCTTGCCTCTGATTGGCATTTCTGCAGTTAACTCTTCATTCCTGGGAAGTGCAGACTGCTCTGTCTAGAACCTTCATGCTTCCCGCTGGAGGCAGTAGAGGATGGGTAGTGGGGCTCTTCCCCTTTCATCCTCCTCTTGGCAGGAGAATGATTCACGAATACAGGGAGGGGAAAGCTGATTTGGGAAGGCTCTCCGATTTTATGCCCTCAAGGAACCCATAATGCAGGTCAACAAGGTGCAGTCAATAGGTCTCCTCTACCTTCCACACGTACTCTGGAGTCTTTCCTTCGGGGATTTCTTTCCTTCTCTTCCATCCTGGTCTTCCTCTGGGATCATTTTCAGATGGGTTTTTTTTTCATATAAAAACAGATGTGTATGTGTGTGGCAGTGGGGTGGAGGATGGGAATCTTAGTTTGAGTCTCAGGCTTGACCTGCCCCGACCCAGGGACCCACCCACCTCCCCCTCACTCACACACACACACACACACACACACACACACACACACACACAGGGTATCCGGACAGCTGTGGACTGCCCACCTCTTTCATTTCTCACACGTCAACTCTTGTCCAATTTCACTGGCTCTGAGTAAAACAGATGGCTCTTCTTTATGGAAGCTTAAACGTAACATGTGGACAAGTTTAAGGATTCTGTGTAGCCATGGTTCCCTGAAAATGGACTCTATCCAAATACACTCAGAGGGAAGAAGGATGATCACCAGTGCAGGTCTCATTGGCCAAACTATGAATGTGTATCCCACCTTCAGCTGCTAACCTTGAGTCTTGAACTTGAGTGCAGTCTGGCCAGCAGTATAGCTTTGAGGCCCCCCATTTCAGAGCCTGACGTAGGCTTGGGATTCAAGGTCCATTGTAAGCCGGGGAAGCTCCTTCCTGCTCCATCCAGCTCCAGAAACAGGGTTAACCACACGGCAAATTAAGGAAAGATGTTTGGGTTACAGTTAGAAAGAGAAGCAGTTAAAGGTTCATCTCAATACCCTGAATCCTAGAAGAGCTGATATTGTTATGCGAATGACAGTTCTGGAAATCATTCGTCAATGGGAAACACAGTGACTGTAATGAGGCTCATAAACCCTCCTGGAGATCCAGAGAAGGGCTGGACCCTTTTGGGTTTTGAGGCCCTGAGTCAAAAGAGGAAAACAATGAAGATAAAAGAAAACAAAAATCAGCCAAAAGCCAGCTATTTCTCTAGGCTTTATCTATACAAACATTCTTTGGGATGGGAAAGAAACCTTGCTTTCAGGCAGGGCCACAGGTAGTATACATTTCAGTGAGATCACCAAATGTTTACTGTTAAAGCCCTCTTTGGGCTTTAAGAACAGGTCCCCCTCATGGTCCCCCTCTGATTGGCCCTGAGAGTTGATGCAGAGACTCTGGGAGGGAAGTGAGTCCACAGAGGAAGGTAGTTGGCTCAGGTGGTGATGTCGCTCAAGGAGCACGCAAAGATAATGGGCTAAATAAATCCTCTTCCTCAGGGTATTCACCCCAGGTGGGCACATCATGATGTGAGAGAACCCAGAGGTTTAGAAGGTTAAAAATGAGGCATCGGCAGCTTTATGATCACTATGGTTACTAACATTTTCACCCGGGTCAGATTCAAGTAACGGTTGTGGTGGGTTTCCATCTTATTTAGACACCTCTGGTTGGTTATGGGGCTGCAACTGGAGTAAGTTGTGAGGAGAGCCATGTTTTTCTGAAGCCAAGCAGGTGGCACCATGAGATGGCACCATCGGCAGAGGAGTCCCTCATGTGGACGCCAATGTGCTCAGAAGCATTGTTGTGTTTGTCGGCATGTGGATGGCACACGTGAGCCCTTCTGACACGGTACTTAAAGCGCTGGCTTCCTGCAGGTACATTTCCAGCATCCTGAGCACAAGAAGAATCATTTTGTACTTTTTTTGTTGAGAAGACAGACTATTAATCCTTCCTTAACGATTGATTACTTCTGAAAACGCACATGACTCAGACCTGTGCTTGGGTTACATATTCTCCAGAAATCTCAAGAATATTTACTCTGCAATTAACCAATAGTTCCAGGCAGAACCCCTCTAAGATCATCCAAACAACCACTCCAAATGAGCCTGCCACCCAACACTTCCCTGCATTTTCTAGATTAGCTGAGCTCCCTTCCCTTCGTTCCAACTGTGTAGATAAGAAACATACTGAAAAAAAATTTTAAACATGGCCATAGAGCACTTGTTCTATCAGATAGCTGTGAAATTTAAATAGAAATGCGGAAAATAATTTCTCTTTTCCCCCCAGGTAACCTATATAACCTATAAATTATTAACCTATAAATACCTGTTCATACCATAGAGAGGAATTTTTCTAACATTGGAAGTATTCAGATTTTCATGCTTTTGGAACTTAACTAACAGCACTGTCTGGTGACAGTGAAAAATGTAGAAATGGAGAAATGGAGAAAAATGCTTCTCTCCGTGACCGCAATTCAAAGAGACACTGGTATAATTGATATGACAATTTAAGTGGTCTGAGCTAATATTTTCACAAGCACTTAAATATAAAATGTAATGGAGACCTTTAAGAGGCTCATCATGACTATAATTCTGAATTGCTATAAAATTATGTAATCTATGTCCACATCCAATTCCTATCTTGAGAAAACTTATAATAGAAATAAATACAGTGCATATGTATTTTTACTAATGGCTGACTCAGAAAAGAAAGTGTTCCCAACCGGGTCATATCCTGGGGATAATGGTATTAAATGTTCAACACTTTCCAGACAGTGTTTTTGGTTTTTTCCCTTTTTTTTTTTTTTGTATGGACTGTTTGTTTTCAGAATTCCCTAAGCCAAGAATTATATATTATACACAATTGCTTAAACGCAGATATTGTATATTATAGAATAATTTTAATAATTTTAAATATTAAACAGCACATCATGTTAAAGTTTCATTAGGATTAACACTGTGTTCTATTACCCTGTCTTGAAGAAACTACCTGTTTTTTTGACTAAGAAAATACATCTGATATTTGCTAAAAAGAAAACAAGTATTAATTCAAATTTATTATCCTACAAGTTCAGTATTTTGAGGGAAATCTGTGTACATGAATGCTTTAACCTATGAACATTAACACAAAAACAAGTCAGAAAATGCCAGTGTTTAATGTAACTTTTCATTTCTCTGACATCAGATTGCCCAAAGAAATGTTGCAAATCCCTGGCTGAACTATAAATCCCCAAATCAAAGAAAATGATAAGTCTCACAGTATTCCCAGATCTAGGTAACCACTTCACCATGTTTATTTATGAGTCTATGACTTCCTGTTTGGAAAATTTCCTTGACACCTCACATTGTGTGCATTTGTATTAAATTCTATTCCCTATAGTTTGAGGCATAGTCTAACTGGAACACATGGCTAGAAGGTTTAGAGACTGTGATACTCAGTCAGCAAGAGCAATGACCCCCACACACACCAGGCAGCCTCCTCGATAACACTTTATGAAGACAGTTTTTCACTGCTGACAAGTCGGCTTCTGTTCTCAAGTACTCCTGCTGCTTTTCATAAAAGACGCTTTAGTATGGAGCTGGCTCTGAAACCAGCTGTGCCCTTGCTTTGGGTGGTCATTAACAAAAGAAATGCTTTAACAGCATCTAAATTATATGTGCCATCGTTATCATACTTTGCACTGGCCTTCAGCAAGTCTACAGTTGCATGTTGAAGATCTACATTTTGTTGTAATGAATAATTCACTAATAATATTTCAAAGGGTCAAAAAATATCCCACATGTGAGAAATCTATCTACAGAGGAACTGATTTACTTGCGAATACTCAGAACTGAAGCTTAACAAAATTGATCACCAGGTATATTTAAATTTCCCACAAAGTTGCATCATGATTTTAAAGTCAGTGAGACTATTTCACAAGGAAATGACATAGTGTTTCCTATTCCAGGGTTGTCATTTTACTGTTTATTGTAGCTCTAAAATGTTTTCCAGTAGAACCAGTTCAAGGTAAATTAAAGAAACAGATGCCAACCAGCATTTCACAAAGGAAGTGGACTCCTGTTTGGAATATACCAAGGATCATATTAATTTACAGTCAACCATTATGATTTCAATCAAATTCTTAATATTTCACTTTATACAGATAATGCTCTAGAATAATTGAATGAAATTATCTTTCTGTGGCTTAATTTGCATGTAAACAAAAGGAAGAACTAGCCTTCGTTTGATATTCCAAGTGACAGTGCAAACTCAGCTCGCTCCTTATAAATCACTCTGAAAGATTATTCTCTTTCCTTTTTTCACTTTGGCCTAAAAGTGTCCTCCTAGCTGCATCAATATTATGTCTCCATAATCAAGTTCTGGTTATGTGGAGATGTTCAGAAACATGCATTGATCCAAGGAGCTGATTAAAATGTACGCTGAATTGTCTGAGGAAAAAGAACACAGTACAGATGAAAATGCTAAGAAGTGACTTCCTATTAAATTTATTTCACCACTATGGGTATTAATCTCTAGGAAGTTGATCTAAAAATTAAACTACAATTACTAGCCCTTAATTAGAATGTGAGCAGCTTCTATATTTTCTGCCTGGATGTCTCATGAGCATACAGATTTCTTGCTAATACTGACCTTTCCTACACTTAAACAGTGATGTACAAGAGGTAATTGGGTTTGAGGAAGCATGTAGCAACTCCCACGAAGCCTTCAATTGCTTCTCTTCGGTATGGAGGCATCAATTAAAAAATTTTTTCTCTTTGCATTCTACTTGATAGATAGTTGCCGCAATAATGGCAATCACTGGCATCGTCATGATGGCGTATGCAGATAATTTCCACGCTGATTCCATCGTAGGAGTAGCATTTGCAGTGGGCTCGGCCTCGACATCTGCACTGTATAAGGTATTTTGTGCACTTCCTTATGTACTCAACTGTCATTTGTAGCTTAGACTTTTAAGTAATAAAAGAAGGAAGGACAAAGAAAATCTTGACTAGCAAAAAAAAAGATGGTTTAAATAATAACAAGCACCAATTATTGAGTACTTGCCACAGGCTGGGTGCTTGCTAGAAATTTTCACCTGTGTTAATGCACCTTTATGAGGCATAGGTACTTATCCCCACTTTCCAGATGAGGAAACTGAGACTTTGAAAGATTAAGTAACTTGTCCAAGATCATCCAGCCAGGAAGTGATAGAGCCAAGATTTAAACTCGGACTGGTCAACTCCAAAGCCTGTGGTCCGTGCCCCGACCCCTCCCAAATCATCCATCAGTTATAGCAGGAGCCGAGGAAGACTTCTCCCCTATGTTTCTTTAATTAACTACTGAGGTCATTATTTCAACTACAATGAGGTATCAAAAATACCTTGAGAGTTTACTGTTTGTTGCATATTAACCCCGTGCCATGTTATTAGCTAAATGAAGAGCCTCTTTTCCTCTCTGATGGATACTCTGGGTTTGTACTCACAGTTCTTTCTCCCCTGGGGTGGCCTGTCATCAGTGAAAGCTCTATTCGGAGGCACTGTCCCTGACTTCAGAAGTGAGGATTAAGAGAGCAGATCTAAAAGGTTATTCACAGAAGCTCCACTTTTCAGAGCCAACTTTCTGGATGTAGCTAAAGAACTGTTCCATTTTCACCTCTCTTGGGGTTTCAATGAGAAAATCCTCTCTGAAAGGCAGAAAATGCCCTTTGCATCCCCCCTGGATGCCTGTTCCGATTATTCATCAACTCTGCCGCTCAGAGGACATTGTGTCTATTTCCATATCGACATTTCCTGGCCCACTGATTCTGTGACAAGCTTGACAGGTGTTCACTCAATCACCATTGGTGTCTAACTTGCCCCCAACTGAGACTCCACGGAGATGTGTGATGTGACCAAATACCACGAGCACGTGCTCAAGTTCTCTTAAGTCTCTCAAGAGAAAAAAATGATACGTTTAGTTGAAATTAAAAGCAATACCCGGACTTGCTATATGCCTGGGATGGCTCTTTTATAGAGAGAATTCTCCTGGCCATGTTACAGATGTATTCATTCTGGGAGTGGTAATATTTTGCTGACATGCACAAAATCGTATGTGCACCATAGAAAAGAGATATTCTGTGCTACATTGTTTAAGGATTAATAAAGGAAGCGGAGGGCTTAAAAAGCCAAGAAATATGGACTAGAGAACTAGCTCCTCCCCAGCCTGATGTGTGATTTAGGTTAGCTATATATGTCTCCTTGCCATCTTTTTCTACACACAGATTTACAATCCAGAAAACAAAGACCATCTTTTTTTAAATCTGGAGAATATGGTACTTGTGAAAATATTTTAGGCTCAGAGAGAAAAGTGCTTATAAATCCATGGCATTGTTACTATTTCTCTCAGTAATATAATGATAGGCTCTCTCTGTCCAATTTAGTTTTCAGTACCTGTCAAAATAAGGGTAAAATGAATCCCATGCTTGAAGAGAAGAACTGATGGCACCTCAATCCTAGATGTTTCTGGGCTTGTCTGCACTCTTATTTATCATCCACCCTATAGCCATAACTGATGGTGGTGTTTTTCCCAGTGTGCAGTATTCCTGTTGCACAGAAAGTGGAATTCATTTTATGGCATTTGCTGTTTCATATGAAGGCTAGAGGGCATTTGAATTCCTTATCTCAGCAGCACATTTAGTGCCATGGAGACGGTGGGATAAGAAGACATAGAGCATAAACCCTGGGCCAGTTAGTTCATGATGTAGAAATTGCCTTTCTGATACAACAATGTCCCTGACTGTGTGGCTAATGAGTTCCTTTCTCGTTCTAGGTTTTGTTTAAGATGTTTCTCGGAAGTGCCAACTTTGGTGAAGCAGCACACTTTGTCTCCACATTGGGTTTCTTCAACTTAATCTTCATCTCCTTCACCCCGGTCATCCTGTATCTCACCAAGGTGGAGCACTGGTCCTCGTTTGCAGCTCTGCCGTGGGGCTGTCTCTGCGGGATGGCAGGGCTCTGGCTGGGTAAGTGGCCCTGGGTTTTGCCTTCCATTTCCTATGTCACTTGACCTCTCCTTGGAGAGTTAAATTGTCATAGTAAGATTATTCCTTTGGGTACCCCTGTCCTCTATTTCCCAAACTTACCTAACGTTGGTTAATGGTTGCAGAGTTCTTTGCAGATTATTCCTTGATTAGATCAGAGCTATCCAGCTAGTATGCCTCCCATGGGTTAAGTGCTGAGCTGATCACCACGGATCCTCAAGTAGCCTCGTCCATTCTTCATGATGTACTGTGTGATGTTATTGTGTTCCATGTGTGGCACAGTGTGTCAGGCAGGGGGGGAGAGTGGGTGGGAGATTCAAGGGACTCAGAGTGGATCAAAATGGCAGGAGCACCAAGTGCAGGAGGAACTGGGGAGGAAGGAAGGAGGTGTCATTCAGGAGGGCAGCAGGTCACGGAGGGCCTGGAATGCCATGTTGAGGGGATTGGCTTTCAAATCCACTTAATGGTCTTTAAGCAGGGGCGTGACAGGCTTACATCTGCATTCTAAACAGTCTACTCTGGTCATGTCTGGAGAATGAGTTTGAGATGGGAAACCCTCACCGAGAAAGAGAAGATGACAGAACAGGACGAGGTGGCCCTGCTAAGTAGGCTGTGCCTAGCAGATGACCAAGAAATAGCCACCTGGAGTGTTTCTCATGTTCTGTCTCCCAACTCCCCATGACTCTGAGGCTGTCTGCTTCACCTGAGCAGCTGGGGGGGCTCCCACTTTCCAGCTGTGCTTTCATTTAATGTGAGAGGAACCTCAATATAACAAGCCCACTCTTTCCTCACCAAGCAGCTAAACAACAACAAACACCCAATGACTCAGTGACTCTGCTCAGAATCAAACCCCTTTCATTCTGCTCCTCTCCCCCCGTTCCACCCGGTAACAGCACCCTCTCCCCACTCCATGTTCACCCGCCATACTGAACAGCAGGACATCTGCCACCCTTCAGCTGACCTTCTTTATCAAGGTGACATAGTCTGAAACAGCACTGCAAGTCTTAGGTGGGAAAAAGAATGCCCTTGTTTTCGTTCCCACAAAGACATTGGGTCATCTTCTTCTACTCTGGCCCAGGCCCCTAAGGGGAGCTCTTCAACTAGACAGGAAACACTCACGAGAAAGATCAAACATTAACTGTTGATCCTTTAAATTCTACTTTTGAAGACCAAAAATGTGTAGTTATGACCGCTCATAACCTGTGCTAAATTGAGTAGTAGAAATCAATAGCAGTCTTTCCATAAGACCAAAACACCCTAATTAAAAGTGCCTAGATCTCTTCCTGGCCAAAAACAATCTAATTGGGAATAACCATAGCCCAAATTTCACTACCTCTTGGCCCCAGCTGTGACCCGTGATCTCCAGCTTGCTGCAAAGTAGCCCTCCACCCACGTTGATCCCTTGGCACCTCTAATACGTGCTCCTAAGCAAGCCTGCTCAGGCTGGGCATCACCCATGCTGGCCGGACCCTGCAGTTCTCCACCAAGCAGCGTGATCTCCACACTGCACTGGGTGTAGTGCCGCCCAGCTTAGAGCTGCCCCACAGGCTCATCCCCGTGCCTGGAGCCCTCTCTGTGCCAGGGTTGCCCTGTGACAAAATGAGGAGACAGCCTCTCTCCTGACTGTGTTACACACCCCAGGGTTTTACAATCTTCAGTGCTTCTGCTCTTGAGTTTTTATTGCCACCTTCTCTTCTCCATAGGAATCAGATATGATCTAGTGAGAGCAGGGCTGGAGACAGATCTGAGAGGCAAAGAGCAGGCTGAACTCTGACCCCACCCCCCATCACCTGTAACTACGGCTTCAATCTGCTTTGGTTCACCTGGCCTCATTCCTGCTCTGGCTTGGCCATAGCCCACGTGCAGATTGACATCATCCATTCACCTGATATGTCTGAGGCCCACTTAAACTCAGGCAGGGCCCCGTGCTATAGACAACATATTGAATTATGTATTCTTGTCCTGAGATTGTCAAAAGAGCTTGTAAGTGTTCCACCTAAAGCACTAAGGAAAAGCAGACACCCATTGCAGTGAAGCCACTCGGTTCTTGTTGAGTGAGAAAAGCTCAGTTCTCAACCAAATACCAATACTTCCTATCAATCTGCTAAAATATCCAGTTCAGCCAATAAAATGACAGTTGGGAAGTTTAGCAAAGTCTGTGCTGTGTTTAATAAATTCCTGATTTGTTAGAACAGGTCATATTTGACTCCCCAAACTTGAGGAGAGAGTTGAGATGCTGGAATATTCATTCCCATTGCAGCTCTGCCATAAAGGAGTAGTTATCAACTTAGGAAGGTCCTCTGCCTTGATTGCCACTACTATTGTATGAAAATTATGAACAAGCCCAAGTTTTGTGAAAGTCCAACCCACCGTCTCTAACTAACAAGGAGGAGTGACTCCAGATGACTAAGTTAGTGAGCTTAATTAAAGTAAGAATTATAGATAACAGTAGAAGAATAAACACTGTCCTAACTGGAATGGTTCTAGAACCATCTTTGGTTCTACAGAGAACGGGCAACAGGGTTTTGAGTCATTTCCATAGAGATCCTTTCTGAATTGAGGACTTTTTGTAGTCGTTAAGACTCATTTCTCTAACCCCTAAAACAAACATTAGCTTGAAATCTATTAAAATAATGCTATGTAATTTATCATTTTCTTTTCGAAAACAAGTATCTTTGATCATTTTTGTGTAGATAATTATTTTAACTAACTTTATATTTACCTAAAAATGTCAGAAGATATGTATTAAATGGTATCAAGTTATACCTACAGTTGGTTCTGTGGACCTGCCCTGGGGTTATCTGTGCACAAATCAGGATGTGGAGAAGGTGCCTGGGGTTCGGTGAATTACACTGCACACAACTTTGTTTGCTCATGTAATGCTCACCCCAAAAGAGAGGGAATAATGCAGCATAGGCCATCCTTGGACAGATCTTCTGTTAGGCAGTAACACCATGGCCTTTTAGTTATTCAGGAATATAGCATGATATAGCAAAGTAACAAGGGAGAAAGCCCCAATCAGTCACCAGCTTTCAACCTCTGGCTCAGCTTTATAGTGCTAATGAGCAGGGTACTGAATTGATGATTTCACTTCTTTGCATGGCTCCCTACCCCCTTTGCCAACCAAGAGATCAGGCAGCCAGGACAGCAGAGGAGGAAAAAGGAATATGACTATTTCAGGTACAATACATATGAATCCATCTCCAGAATTAGAGGATTAATTGACCAATGGTACAGATAATTTAGAAGGCATGTATAGCATAGACATGGATTCTTTTATGTTAAGAAGGAAAGAGCCCAGCATAGCAATTCCCCTTTATCCTGTATATCCTCCTTTATTTTACAGCCTTCAACATCCTGGTGAATGTTGGTGTGGTGCTGACATACCCAATCCTCATCTCCATCGGAACAGTGCTCAGCGTTCCTGGAAATGCAGGTACTGTACGATTTGACGTGTGCACAGGAAGTCTCCTGCTTGTGTTTGTTTTATACCCTGAATTGTTTCTTCGAGCAATTGTGAATTATGTCACTTGCCTGGGAAGATGTTTTTAAATACCATGAAGGTGGCAGACAACAGAATAACTATGCATCACATTTAAAATTTCCAGCTACAAACACTGTTTTAACTTGGTTGTGCTTTTAGAATTAAATACCAAATGTATCATTTGGGTTTCATGTAATCTCCCTGACAACCTAATTTTGTGGTATTTTTAGAGGAAGTCCTATGGAAACAAAAGGCATCCCAGCATAGGACTCTCAAACATCACTAATGAAAGTGTAGGAAACATACAAGGTGCTGGCACCCCATCAGACTATCCATGGGGAGCTGTGAAAGATTCTCCTGGGGGCACAGCAGATGGCCCTCTGGAACAGACATAAGAAAAAAGCAATTTGACTCACTTCAGGGACAAGAGGAGAAGCTACTTTTCCAGGAAAATCTTTCTAGGTAAACTGTCCGTGGAACAAATAATGAAAGTGGGTTATCTGGATGACTGTATAGTCCTTCTAATTTTAAAATTCTATTTTTCCAAGTCTTAGGTAGCCATCTTTCTTTACCCCCAGTACAATCAGCAAATATTTATTGAGCACTTACTATGTGATCATGACTATAGAAGAGATTGGGAAAAAAAGATATTATTGTTCCCATAAGAAACTTACACTGAATATGGAAAACAAGACCGACATGTATGAAATAACTTAGAACTCTACAAAGTAATTTATCATCAAATGCCAAATTGTGTAAAAGACTCCAAGGACTATAAGATATTTAGAGGAAAGTCATATCAGGGAGGAGTGGAGTTGTCAAGGAATTCCATTCATTCATCCATGAATTCATTCATTCAGTAAATAATTTCTGAGCACTTAGTATATGCTATCAACTGTGCTAACACCTGGTGATAGATCCTGAATAAGACACAGCCTCTACCCTCAGGACCATGTAGTGTAGAAAGGAGATGAAAGGAACTGAGTAATTACAATGTAGAGAGAGAATGGCTTTGATAGAGGTATGTACTGAATGCTCTGAGCGCACACAGGAGGGGCATCCAAGGAGGCTTCCTGCAAGAAGAGTAAAGGGAGGGATCTAACAGAGGGTTTAGCTGGATGAAGTGCATATGAAGAGGGAAGAGCATTCCATGCAAAGAGAACAGCATATATATGATTCCACTACTAGTTACATTCCTGCAAAACTGAAAACAGGGACTCAAAAATATCCTTGTATGTGAATGTCCATACTATTTACAACAGCCAAAGGTGGAAACACCTAAATGTCCATCCAGAGATGAATTGATAAACAAGTTGTGATACAATGGCATATTACTCAGCCATAAAAAGGAATGAAGCACTAACGCATGCTACAATATGGTTGAACCTCGAAAACATTATGCTAAGCGAAAGAAGCCAGATACAAAAGGTCACATATTGTATGCTTCCATTTATAGGAAATATCTAGAATAGGTAAAATCCACAGATACACAGCAGGCTGACGGTTGCCAGGTGTTGCGGGGTGAGAGTAGTGGGCTGGGGAGTAACTGCTTAATGGGTACAGGGTTTTATTTTGAAATAATGAAACTGTTTTGGAAACAGGTGGAGTCGGCGGTACATTAAGCTGTACAAAACGAATGTACAAAATGCTACTAAACTCACTTTAAGCTGGTTAATTTTAATTTATATGAAATTTACCTTAATTAAAAATTTTTAAAAAGACTAGCATGTGCAAAGACCTAGACATTAATAAGCCTGGCTCACTTAAAAAATCTTCAGTGGTCCAGTGAAACTGGAGAAGCATGAAGGGATGCAGAGGAAAAGTATTAAGAAATAAAACTGCATGTACACACTGCTATATTTAAAATAGATAACCAACAAAGACCTACTGTATAGCACAGGGAACTCTGCTCAATATTCTGTAATAACCTAAATGGGAAAAGAATTTGAAAAAGAACAGATACATGTATACGTATAACTGAATCACTTTGCTGTACACCTGAAACTAACACAACGTTGTTAATCAACAATACTCCAATATAAAATTAAAAAAAATTTTTTTTTAACTGCAGAGGTTATTCAATCAGATGGCATTTGCCTGGAAGGTAAGTATGATTTAGAGAGAGGGAATGGAAAGCAAATGGAGAGAGCGGTATTGATAATGACGTGGAAAAAGGGAAGATGAGCTTGAGAGAACAAGAGAGACTTTTGAAAATCTCTTAGAAGTAGCACTGATGTGGTCATTTGTTTTCAGAGAAGCTTAAAACAGTGATGGACTGACTGCCTTGCCGTTCCTTCCCTAGCTGTGGATCTCCTGAAGCAGGAGGTGATATTCAATGTCGTCCGCCTGGCTGCTACCATCGTCATCTGCATTGGGTTCCTGCTGATGCTGTTGCCGGAGGAGTGGGATGAAATTACCCTGAGATTCATCAACAGCCTGAAGGAAAAGAAGAGTGAGGAGCATGTGGATGACATCACTGATCCCAGTGTCCACCTGAGAAGCAGAAACAGGGCCATTGGGACTGTGTCCATACCACTGGCTTAGAGGAACACATTTTGAACGCACGTGTATGTATATTCTGTGAATATAATAAAATTTTCTCACCACCTGTACACTCAAACGACAGTATTAACTCTGAATTTGCATAAGTCATATGTGAAATGATGCTAACAATAAAAGTTTACATTTATATGCTTATCAAGGAACTGGTGTAAATAATCATAATAAATTTTTTTATTAAAACATATTCATACTTGTTCTATTTCTTCTGGGTATTTTTTGGGAGGGGGGCATTTTCCCCTAATTCACAGAATTTTCTCAAAATATGAGGTTCTATTAAATTATGGGCTTGTCATTGCCTTTTTCTCACCTGGAACTGAGACCTTTTCATTCAATCAGAAAAAATTGCATAAGAGGAAAGTACATGAAAAGGATACACACTTTACATATATTTAAGGCCAATAAGAGCCTTCAATTTGAAAGCTGGAAAGTAATTAAGTATCAACAGAGTATCTTCCATATGCAAGACCTACACTAGGAACAATGGAGACGTGAAGATGTAAGACTCCATCTGTACTTTCAACATGCTTACAGGAGTACAGAGCATAAAAGGGGTTAGAAATATCTCTAATATGAGGTAGACATTTGGAAATGGTATAATGGTTATGGAGAGGACATCTATTTCACCAGTTTTAGAGCTGTTTACATTTGCTGTCACTTCAAGTCCCATTCACTCTTCAACCCACCTTCTGGGCACCACCTTCTGCCCACATCATTCCTCTGGTGCCCACATCATTCCTCTGGTGAAGTGCATTCACCAAAGTCACCAATGACCTTTTACTTGCAAAACCATATTGACACTATTCAACTCTTACTTTATTGTCCTCTCTGTAGCATGTACATGATGACCACTCCTTTTTCCTGCAATGTTCTCTTCACCTAGATCCCATTATGGTCTCCTGACTCTCTTTCTGCCTTACTGGCTGCTCCTCTGGACTCCTCTTCTAGGCTGGTCTCATTGCTGTCCGTGTTCAGTCCTTGTCCTTCTTAGTGTCTCACTCCACACTCTCTTCCTCAGAGATCTCATCTGCTTCCATGGCTTTCAACGTCATCCATGTGGTGATGGCTTCATAATACTTATCTCCAGCCCAGATTTGTCCCCCAAGCTTCAGACCTGACTATCCAAATTCCTTCTGCAGGCTCACTTGGATGCCCCATTGTTCATTTCACGTTCAAGAACATAGTTAAATCTATCATCTCTCCTCCTCAGACCTACTCCGTCCTCTCCCTTGTTGCCTGTCTAGGTTAATGGTACCATCATTCACGGGCTGCCCAAGCCAGAGATCAAACTTAACTTCTGCCTTCCTCACCCTCCACATCTAAACCATAAATCTTATTGATTGCTTCCCTTAATATTTCTTGAATCCATGCACTTCTCTACTATGCTACCTATTCTATGACCCTATCATTTCCTGATGAATGAAATACTCTCTTTACTGGTCTAACCCCCAGTATTGCCTCTCCCTAATCCCTTTTGTACCCTGCAGAATGACGTTTCTAATATATAAATTTGATCATTCTACTTCCCTATATAGAACACTTCAGTGACATCTCATTGTCCTCAGAGTAAGTTCCAAACACTTTTGCAGGTCATTCAAAGTTCATCACTGATTGGCTCCTGCCTACCTCTAGAGAAGCACCATCCAGTAGAACTTTCTGTGATGATGGAAATATTCTATATCTGCACTGTCCAACATAGTAGCCACAACTGGCTATTGTGCTCTTTAAATACGGCTAATGCTCTAATTTTATTTACTTTTAATTACTTTTAAGTTAATATTAGTTAGTCACATGTGGCTCTTGGCTACCATACTGGACAGCACAACTTCTACCACACCACCCCCTGCAGCCCCCTGGAATCTCTGTGCTTTAGTGACACCATCCTTCTTATAGTTCTTCAATCAAGACATGCTCTCTTTCTTGTACTTCCTTTTCCTCTCTCATCACCTGAATAACTCTTACCTAGACTTCATGACATGATTTATTCCTATTTTCGTGGAAGGTTTTTTCTCATCCCCCAAGCTAAACAATGTGACTTCCTTAGACACCTCTGCTTACTCCATTATAGCACTGGTCGCCCTCTGTGGCCATTGTCAGTCTACTCATCTGAGTTCCCAGTAGACCACGGGTTCCTTGAGAGCAGGGATTGTGTGACATTCATCATCGTGTTTCTAGCATAGTGCCTGGCGCTTACAGACACTCAGGAAAGGAGTGAATGGGTTGCTTTACACTGGAGGTATGCCCCCCTGCCCCCGAGCTGTATTAGATCAGTCTTAGTTAAGGACAGACATTCTCATAGAGGAGATTGGTTAAAGGAAGGGCCAAAAGGGATGAAATGTACCACAGCCTTTGTTACTGAACTGATAAAAGGCACTTCTTTCCTAAGAGGCGGGTTATCTTAGGGCATCTAGCAATTTAAGATAACCTGCCCTTTCTGACATCTGTTGTACAATTCTTTTTTAATTCAAGTGGCCCAGAAGTGTAGGTGAGATGGTCATGGGGCAAGAAAAGGGAACTTCGGATATCATATCTGCTGGCTGGGTATCATAGTCAATAAAAACCTTACCATTTTTTCATTTCTCTGTCATTTTTTGAAAAGACAATGACAGTCTCCTGGCATTGGTAGATGGCATGATATTAATTAAAACAATAATCGTGACACACTTCAAACTTCATGAAAAATGGTAGAAAATAAATGAGGTATATTATTAGTAAATATGAATTAATTCATTATCTAAGTAGAGTTGGTTTTGACTATTTAAATGTCATAATGGTACAAACCTTGCTCTTGCCTTGTTTTTAAATTGATGTTAAATAGTAGTAATCACTGACTAACCCGCTCCAGCATCTTGCCATTACTTAGCATGGCATTTAAAATTACATTTTGACATCTCTAATAAATGAGCTGTTTTGCTCTTTTTGATAATTCATTTTGAAAAATTGAGTCAGCTACCCTGGAAAGCACTAATTCAACCTATAACTGATCACCCTAATTAGCTCAGTCTATATTAAGAAAATACTTCCGTTATGGTATTCATTCATTTATTCATTCAAAAATTACTAAGTTCTACTTCTCGCTCTGAAGTAGGGTATTATGTTAGATTGTCACCCACTGGCCTCTCCCTGCCTCTAGAGCAGCACTGATAGAACTTTCTGTGATCATAGAAATGTCCTCTCTTTGCACTGTGGTGAAAGGGATACAAAATGGATAGGAAATGGTCCCTGCTTCCAGGCATTTCAACCTTTAAGTTGTTACCATGGCAATTAAAACAACAACAATCACAACTCAGACACTTGTTTAAGTCACTTTCCCTTTAACTCAGGTCAAGTATTCATAAATAAAGATAATAATGCCTTTCCTTACTACCCCCCATGGTCGCTGGGAGAGTCAGTTGAGATAGCGTGTTTCAGTCACTGAACAAACGGGGGTGGGCCTCCTGTGTCCCTATGATGTGCCTTCCTTGATCCAGGTTCAGTTGGGTTTGCAGGGTACTGACAAAGTGCCTGCCCTCGTGCTGGAAGTACCTTGTTGAGGTTCCTATTGTCCTGTCTCTTTATCCAAACTTGGTTCCTCCCCAGAGTCCAAGAGGCGATGGATTCTGTGGGTGACTGAATGGGCAGCACAGTGCAGGGATTGAGGGCACCCATGTTGTAGCCCCGACTCTGTACTTCTGAGATGCGGGCTTTAGTGAATTACCAACATCTCTCAGCCCCTTGATCTCACGTTCAGTACAATGAGGATATTAATACCTATCATTTGGGGTTGTTAAATATAGTAAATAAAAACACACTGCCAGACAGTCCAGAAGTAGTTATTGTTAGGATTTCCTCTGTCTGTTTACCTCCCTCCAGGACTTCTTCAAACCACTTATCCACAGCACTATGCCAAGCAAAGTCACAGAGCCTGGCGCCGAGCAGGGATTTTTACCCAAAATAAATGAGGGAGAAGAAAGAAGCTTGGCATGAGGAACACTAGGAGGAAGCCAAAAAAGGGGTGTCATTCCCATTGGTCAGTTCCCCGCAGCACTTTGCATCACGGCATTCTTGCCCAGCCAGTGGAACTAATTGCATGACAAAAAGACAGACTGGTGACTTGGGCTTTGAAATTAAAATCACTTCAACCACGTCCTGATGGCTTCACAAACACATTATAGGCAAATCAATTTTGTTCACCCAGGCTTTGCACGCCTGTTAATTTTGTGCAGGTGCTTTGTCAAGATCCACCAGAGGACAAATGATTTGGAGAAGGACAATGCAAGTGATAAAAGAGTGAACAGTGTAACCAGCCAAGCATTTGAATGTTTCTGATATTTAAGTACAAATCCTCTTTCTTACTTTTCAATAAACCCTTGTCACAAAGACAAAGAACACTAGCGCAGGCAATGCTGGTTTATCTGGCAAGCTAGGACAAGAAGTCTCTATTAATTCTAATTATTTTTATTTCTCTCCCGCCACCTCCTGTAGCAACTGGAGGTAAAGTTAAGAACAGGAGGTGATGATGTGGAGGTGGTCATGCCAAGAACCCAGAGACAGAAAGAGCAGACGCCCTGGGTTTTGAAGCACTGATTAGCCAGTGTGCTCCTACACGTGTCACAAAAGCAAACGCTGCTTTGTCGTTATTTGCAGGAGGTAGGAACCCCGGATCCTCTGGGAACTTGAGGGATCTTAAGAGCGAGAAATCTAACCTGGGCTCTCTGACAGAATTTTCAAAATAGTGTGAACTTAGCTGCATTATTCTGGGGGAATCAATTCAGAGAATTTAGAGGCACTAAATCCACAACTGTTCAGTACACTAGCCACTAGTCACATGTAGCTGTTGAAACATGGCTAGTCCAAATTGAGATGTGCTGTGTCACGTATCCTGGAGTTTAAAGACTTGGGGTGAAAAAGAGAAGGTAGGCTATTTCATTAATAGCTCTATACTCATTACATATTGAAATGAGAATATTTTGGATGAGTTAGGTTATATAAAAATATTATAAAATTCATTTCACTCGTTTCTTTTCACTTTTTTAATGTACCTACTAGAAATCTTAAAATTATATATAAGTCTTGCGTTTGTGACTCACATTTTGCTTCTATTAGGCAGAAATTCTCTAGAAGCTTAAGAATAACTTGGTTAGAGGGATAAAGAGGGAAATTTAGAAGAAGAAAATAGCTTTGGAAACAAACAATTATTTGGTCAGCTTCTGTCAGTC